CTCACCCCCATCTAGTGCCGAGGTCAAGGAAGGGAGGAGCTATACTACCTCTCACCCCCAAGCGCCTACATGGCACATAGCGGGACAAACTTTACTTTACTTTTACATGGAGCATGGACCTTGAGAACCTAGTGGTCAATGAATTTCCCGTATTTTATTTGTTTTTTTATCCGAATGCTCATTGGTGTGTTATGCATAAGACGCTAGACACCGTTCTTAGATGAATCCAGACGATAGTTTTCCACCTAATTTCTTCAATATCATACCGTCTATTTCTAGGTCCTCCAAGAAGTCTGTTAATTTTATGTTTTAAACTAATTTCTGTGAATTTCTTACCTGTCCTATGTGTGTTACATGCCCCATCTATCTTATTCTCACAAATTTAAGTTCCCTAATATTAAGCATTGAGTGAATATTTCAAATTTATGCAGCTCTGTGACAAGACATGAACGTATATACCTACCTACACATTTTTGCATTTACTTCTTCTTAATCCTCCTTAGAGACTTTCTGTGCAGCACTTAGTAACATTCTGACGTTCTTCTGCGAGAAGCTACTGGTCTCTGGCCACCGTTGTCAGCTGTCTACGGCTGCATATTTCGTGTATATTTGTAGCTACCTTACATGCATGAAATACGCCTCCATCTGTTGTGGTTACAAGGGACCTGAATTCACATACATATGATATTCTTACAGTGTTGCTGCATTCTGTAGTTTTGTTGTTCCGTTGGCACACCTTGTCACGTGTGTTTGCAGATGAACGAGACGTACCAACATCCCGGTAAGTGGCATGACGTCATACTACCGGCCCCTCATGACGAGACTTTCACGCACGTCATGTCCTACAACATAAAAGGACTTGATCATGGTTCCGTTTTCGAAGCGATTGTCCAAGCCAAGAATAAGTACGGCTGGAACGAGGTGTCGGACCTCTATCAGTTCTACACTAGCGGTGCAGGTAGAGTACTGAGTACTACTAACATAAGAAATTATATATGGATTTCAGTTATAACAAAAAAATAAATTATCCTAATGTAAAACATGTCCAGGACTAACCATTTGTTCATTCGCCCACAATTTTTTTCCCGTCTATCCACTCACACATTCAGCCTTTAGTGTAGGTATCAATTTCATCACACGTCAGACCCCCACTCCGCATATCAATGTGTCCACCCACCCTTCAATCCATCCTTTCCAACTATCCGTCAGTTTTCTCCACCCCTTTATCATCCACCCATTCTTCCATATATCCATTCTTTTCAGCTAACCTACATCAGTAAATCCATCTTCCATTCACACATCAGAACGTCCAAGCTCCCATCCTGATGTATATTTTGCCATCTGTCGCTTGTTTCAGAACCCAAAATGGAAGACATGGAACTCATCGGAAGTTCAGATTCGTTCTCCTTGTCTCCGTGTCGGACAATGTTGGCAACACTGTGGATCATAGTGTCTACTGTGTTCTGTCACTTATAGAACGTAAGTACAAATTATTCAGTCGCTGCAGATTGCAACGTAACTAACATATGAGCTTTTTAAAATTGGTTCACAATGAACTTAGCGTAACGTCACATTACATATAAATTGTTGCTTTAAAAATCGTAATACGCATTATATCTTGAGATAGTGTGATGCTCGAATTATTTTCTCAGCATCTCATGTGCCTTCAGTACAGGTGATATATTAATTTAAGTCGCTGCATGTATAATTTATATTAATATTAAGTTGCGGGAAGTTATTTAGATTTTGAAGTTGTGGTTCAAAGGATATTTGTGAGACTTGCTTTCATAAATTTGACTTTGAATGCTTTGGAGCATCTGTAGCAATCAGAATGTTGACCTGCGTTCCTATGATTATTAGCTTAATTTTTTTTGTGACTTTGAAATTTTGAAGACATTTTGTCCCTCCTGTTTTGGGGACAAAATTCGTTTCACGTCCTGTATTCGCTAATCACCATTCTATAGATAATTAACCCTTACAATTTCTCTTCTCCAATAACGAATATGAAGTAATTGCATTAAGCAGAATTCTTCTGCGTCTTCGCATGGCCACTCATTTTACGGAACACGAACGTTCATAATGATGTTCATATGTTCAGAGAGCAGTGGAATTCAGTCCACACCCTCAAATGCTCACGCTGGCTCTTCAATAATACGTTATTGATTTCAGATGTGTCTCTGTGATGGAACTTTTATGAGAAATAACCTGTGACATGAAACACTGGTTGGAAGCGACATTCGAGGCAACTAAAGCAGTCCAGTCAGAATATAATACCGTTGAACACGTGGACAAATTAGGAAGTGCAGTAAAGATATTTTTTTCAACATTAAAGATTGTGTCCATCCTTTAACCAGCCAACTTATCTACAAAAAAACATGAAGATTTAAATGGAATTATTGAACTGATTCAATTACGTGGATGTAATATACCAACTTTTTAGAAGTGACAGTGCGAAGTGAATCTGACAAATTTTTAATAAAGTGTGACGTATTAGGAGGATCTATTTCTCTCCCACTTCCAGAATAACAGACGAAGGAATGCAATTACTTATTAAAAACCAAATGTTTTTAATAGAGCAAAATGTTTAAACCTATCTTTTTGTGTGGTAGACAAAGTGATAAAGGACAATGAAGACTAAGGTGATAAGAGAAATCAATTTAATTAATAATAGCGTCGGTGTTCTCAAAAGTGATATATAACCCCTCTTTCAAATCCCTGGAAGTGTTTGGATATAAACAGTATCTTTTATTGACACCACCATCTGAATAATGTTGCAACGATATATAATAATTTTTCACTGTATTATGGTAAAGTAATAACAAAAAGTTGTATTTTTCGTATGACCTACACGTTATGTTCAAATCTGCTATTAATGTACTCACTCCAAAAATGCATGTCCCCTCCCCACTCAGCATGTAAAATAAATAAATAGTTCTTATAATGTAGGTTTCCCCTCAGATAATTATATTGCGTAACAGCTTGTGTGGAAAGTGAATTAAATTTTGGTGCAAGTATGTTAAAATTCTGTGGTATTTTTCTTTTCGATTTACAACTGATATTTAATATTTTATTTACAGAACATTTAAATTATAAATATCTTTTTTAATATTGATACATAACTGTAAATGATTATTTTGATGCCCATTTTTATTAAGATTGCTATAAATTTGAATTATTCTGTAAATTTATAAAATCTTAATTTATTTTAATAGCGTCAAAAGTAAAGTGTCCTCACTTTGGGAACCCGAAATGTTCCATTCTTTAGTGAAGAAAGATTCTCTAACATATCTCATTCGGTTTTTTTTCAGTTTCAGTGTTAGCTTTTTTCCTATAGTTGATTTTACGAAAATGTTTTCCACTGCTAACAAATTAGCATTTAATGTTAATTTTTAAAGGGAATAAAGTGCATAACATTATTTAATAATTTGCTTCCCACATCCGTGAAATGTCACCTAATGTCAGCTACAACGATCTGTTAGGAAAATTTCCGAGAACGCAGATGCATCGTATGAACTTAATTCTGATGTTAAGACTGGAAGACAAAGACGTAGGCTAAAAGATTCTCAGACTGTTTATTTCTCTGCTGCTGAATTTAAAGATTTACACAGAGAAAAACAAACGTATTGAGAGGAAGTAATATCAGGACACAACTCCTTGCTTTCTTTTTGATCATTGTTTCGTAAGTATAAAGTCTGCAGAGAAAAAGTGATTTCGTCAGTTACATAACGTTACTAGATGGAAAAGAAATGTATATGAAAATTTAAATATTGAATTGTAAACAGTTTTGTTGGGAAATATATTATTAAATAATGGTTTCAATAATATAATATTTAATTCATGACAAAAAATATTAATAGTTTTAAGAATTTTTCTCCATTCGTAAAGAATTTTAAAATCGTGCTGAAAGTTGCCTGAAAAGTGTACATAGGTAAAATGAAACTTTGTCCAAGAAATTAATTTTTTTGCAGTTTAGCCCTCGGTTCAAGATTCATGTGAATGGTTTAATTCATGTTTCGTCTGCTATGGAAGTTGCCCACAATATCATACTCTTAATGGAATGTTATTCGTATTTATTTTAGTTCTTACGAAATCACAGTATGTGTGTAGTGATGAATTATCAGGTCAGTGTACCTGCAGAAAACCACCGTCATGGCAATGAATACTTTCAAGTGTAATTCACACACCCTGGTGTACGTAAATTTTCTAATATGCACCTTGTGTTAGATGTATTGAATAAGGCAAATCAAATACAGGAGGTCAGAAAGCTGGACTGTTCTTATTGCAATTTTTACGTACTACAGAAAGTAAACAAACATCTTTTCAAGTAATATGACGTTATTTAAAATTTTCTCCAAAGTACACTACCCAACTGAAAGGGTACCAGACACCCCACCCACGCACATTTATTCATCCCAGGCCACTATAACCTAACCAGTTGAGTCAGAATAGTTACAGGTCAGAATTTGCAAATGCAATCATTCGTCTCATTCTCGTCATTGTTGGTTACATTGGACTCTTCATTGTTTATTTTTGTCGTTCATCATAGATAATATCAAATTTTAGATATTCGTGTAAAGCACCAGGAGGGATATCTTCGGATTTGTATCTCCATGCTCCAATTTCAAAAAAAGATGTATATCATGTGCATCATTTCCAACCATCTCTTCTCTGTTTGCTCGCAATAGCGGAGATATCGTTATAACCGTGCTCGTTATAAATGTGTTCTGCTGTATAAGTTCATGAGACTCTTTGCAAGAGTATTTCCTGCACCAAACATCGCAGATTACGTTTTAATACAGTGTTTCTTGTTAAGCTATCTTCTGCTAAAACGTGGAGTTTCCCTATTCTTCTACAGCAAGGGCATTATTGTTGGCGTATTGGTGAGTTAGTTTTGATTACAAATTTGTTAATGATTTCCTTCTTTAGAGACACACTTCCATCAAGATTTTAATTTTTGATTTTCTCTGAGTCTGATTTATGAAGAAATAAATAACTTTCGCATTTCCAGAAAGCGAGATACCTGGAAAATATTTGCGCAATGCACTTTTTTCATAGATGTTCTGACGTGAAGAATCTCAGAGACTCGCCCGTTACGCAGTAGTATCAGATTTCTTGCTACATTCATCTATACTAGACTTGGAGGAGGTGCTCTGATGTCTTTTAGAAGAATTGAATTATTTGGAATCCTTCATTTTCAGTGTATTCTGCTGTCTACTTCCGATTGGAAGGTGAAATTATTTTCTATTTTCCGTAAATGTTCTTAAACTATAAAATTTAACGATGATTTAATGTTCCGAATTTCTGACCTATCCTGGTAATATGGATTAAAAGGTGCATTATCCGCTAATATTGTATTATTTTGTCAACTTTCTTCTCTATTAAGCTCACTGTTATATCACCACTGATTAATCGTAACGGAGTATAATTTTTCGTTATTTCTTGCAAACAAGTGTGACAGGTTTAGTTAATGTAATATATTTTAATTTACTTTTCAATGTAATTAATTTACAAGTAGGTTTTAATTGCATTACTGAAATGTATTTGAAACTGAGTGACCAAGTAATTTTTGAGTTTAAGATTACGCAGTCTTGATTTTATACTGTGATGCTAGTTTCTAAAGCCAAAATTCAAAAAGGTAATATTCTGTGAAAAATTAATTTTTAAATAGACAGAGCTTAATATTTAAGTAGCTCCATAATAAGGCAAAAGGCAGAGTAATATAATTACAGGTAGACATATTTATTTCAAAACAGTTTTCTTCATAGATGCGTGAACAGAAGTTGTGTATAAATTAAATAAGGAACATTTTGTGGTTTTAACATCACAGCTCAATATTGATGCTAAAGTGAAAAGTGCTAATGGAATGCTTATACAGTGTGTAATATATTCCGTAAAACAGATCATTTGTAATAGCCAATGTCTGTGTTTATTTGGGTACAGGTTATCTGAAATATGTTTACTTCCAGGCCTTTGATTTTATTGTAAATTTTTTTATATATTTTTATCATTGTTCAACTTTTAACTTTAGTTTTGACTGCGTACATGTTACCAATTTCTTGCAAACAAATGTCTTACTGTTAAGACAATTGTCTCCTTACTAGAGTCTATGTCCATCATACAATGCATAAAACTGAAACGTTAACTACAGCTTCAATTTTGTATCCAAAGTTTCTTAGTTTTTAAATGGTAGATAAAGGAAATTTCTTTAATTAAAATTACAAATTTTAGTTTTATTTTTTGTAATGTTACCTACACAGATTAAATTCAGATAATTGTACCTTTGTTTATGCATTAGAAGTACACAATCAATAAAATCATTTTTCGTACACTTTTAACGAAGGATGTAAAAACATCAAATTCCAAATACCACATTTATGTTAGTCTACAAATGTGAAATATTAAACGGTTATTATTTCCTAATCAGTATAATAATATTTTCTGCTATTATATTTTTTGTGAATGGGGTGTAAGTTCTTATGTAAATATAAATACGATTAATTTCAATTGTAACATAAATTAAATAAAATCCATTTCGTATAAGTAATTGGTATTATTAATGTATTTAAATTACAATATCACTCCTTACGAATAGTTCCTATGGTCAATGATTAATTTCCAGAACTATTTTCTCGGCCTAAAGACGCGACAGACGGACAGAATATACCAATCCTAATACTGATCTAAGCGGGTATATCAAATGTAAATCACAGTATTAACCATGTCCAACAGTGTTCCAATTATGAATAAAACACTGTGACAAAACTTTAAAGATTCCTCACACCTCTCTCCACATCACGCACCTGTCACACAAACTCACACTGAAACCCGCATGTCACATCTCACTTCACATATCCACTCGTACATCACATGTCACCACATGCCAAATACATCACTAGCCATCTCCTCAACGCTCCTCTCATAAGATAAATTACAACTCAAAATTCTTCATCTCTTTTTACATCGCTACCATTCTCACCTCTCCTGTCATCACCTTACCCATGTTTAACTGATATCTCAATTACATCTGTTATCTTCAACTCATCCTCACCACAACTAACATTTAAACTCGTATTACCTAACCTCACTTTACATAAACCGTTGGTACTTCAGGTCACCTTACGTCACATAAAATTATCTTCCCATCTAACACAACTAACCTACTGCAACATAATCTCATCTCAAATGAATAGATCTCTCCAAATAACTCAAACCTCAACTAACATTAGCTAACTGAACATTATATCGCCTCAACTTATCTCAATAAACATCACTTTTCAGAGGAACTCACCTAACCTAACTTAACTACCACTATCCATATAAACTCAGCTCATATAACATAAATTTTGTTGGCATAAATTAAACTAACCTAACATTTAAAACAAAATCAACTACAAAAAAAATCCGCACAACAATAACAGACACATTTATTCCTAACGCTCAATTGGCACACATCCACGCACACCACAATCATCACAACGCGCTCCGCCGTCGATCGATCTGCGATTAACCCTCTCTTTAAAATTTCTGACACATCTCCCTTTCTTTTACAAACTCGTCCATATGACACGCATCTGCACTGATCAAAAATCACCATCAAACCTAACAACCAAAAATTCACTCGTCGCAACTCAAATCGCATTACACTTCACACACCGTATGACATTTAAAAAAAGAACTTTAGCCACTTACCCTAGAACACCATTTATCTCACTTCACACGTTTAACATAACGTAAAATAGATTACTGAGTCTTAGAACTCATAACTCTCAATAGACGTTACCTCTGAACTCAGCCACTCAATGTGTACCTCAGTTACAAATACAGACATAGCATCTTCTCAATGATGGACGCCTTAAGAAGCAATGCTATAGCAAATGACTATGGCGAATATCTAGCAAGTAAAGTAAGTGAACATAAAAGCGTCCGAAAACAATAGGTGAAGAAACGCATAGAAGCGAATATACAGGCAGAAAGTAACTTGCCCCAAGTCTTGAGAAGTCACTTGTCCCAGGTCTTGAGAAGTTCTTGTCCCAAGACTTGAGAAGTCCCTTGTCCCAAGTCTTGAGAAGTTCTTGTCCCAAGTCTTGAGAAGTCACTTGTCCCAAGTCTTGAGAAGTTCTTGTCCCAAGTCTTGAGAAGTCACTTGTCCCAAGTATTGAGAAGTTTTTGTCCCAAATCTTGAGAAGTTCTTGTAACAAGTCTTGAGAGATCACATAACCCAAGCCTTGAGAAGTTCTTGTCCCAAGTCTTGAGAAGTCACTTGTCCCAAGTATTGAGAAGTTTTTGTCCGAAATCTTGAGAAGTTCTTGTCCCAAGTCTTGCGAAGTTCGTGTCCCAGGTATTGAGAAGTTCGTGTCAAAAGTCTTAAGAAGACACTTGTCCACAGTCTTGAGAAGTTCTTGTCCCAAGTCTTGAGAAGTTCTTGTCCCAAGACTTGAAAAGTTCTCGTCCCAAGTCTTGAGAAGATCTCGTCCCAAGTCGTGAGAATTCACTTGAACCAAAGCCTTGAGAAGTTCTTGTCCCA